AATTCATAGTTCAAAATACTTCTGTTATTGGGGCTTTACAAAATAGTTCAGTAGGCCCATATCTGCAGAGGAAGTTCAGATGTCCCTCTCCCATGTGCAATAAACATATGATAGGGATTCAGCATTAGGCTCCCCCAATGGCGAAATGCTGAGTGCCACAGAATATATAGTTGACATGCAACAGAAGTTTTGTAGATGGAATCTTCTCTGTTGCAGTGAGGAATCTGAATGAACAAAGATCTAGATGAGACCTGGGCATTATATGGTCCCCAGACCACACACAGCCCTTTCACTGTCCCTGTCTGGCCCATGTGAGGTCAATCAGAAATCAAATGTAAGTAAGTATCCAACATGCATGTATTACAGCTATATTGCTTTTATTTTGAAGGTGACTTTTTTTTCCAATTTACTGTACTTCTATGAGTGCACACCTCTGTACCTTCATAGCCCTGTTAGTGCTGCCCCCCCCACACAGTCCCAGTTTCTCATGTGGTTGCTTAGGAAAATTAATTGCCCACTCTTGATCTAGATGCTGTTACCTGTAGCATACAGAGCCCTTTCTAGTGCAGGCCTAATGTGTGGGCCAGGAAGAGTCAAGGTCATCAAGTGCTAAGGGGACAGACTACAGCATACTATATCTGTCTTTGCATTAAATCGGAATCAAAGAATAGTGCAACACTTAGAGTTAGAAAGTAATCAGAATACATATTAAATGAAGTGGACTAAAATCCACGAAAGCTCAAGTGCTATGACACGTTTTCGTCTTAAAATGCTATGAGATACTTGGTTGTTTTAACAATCCAGATAGCAATCTCTATTGCAACAAAAAGATCTGAAACAATGTAAGAAAACAACAAGGTTTCAGCAAGAGGGATGCTTCAATGTTGATTCACAAGTTACAAAGCAGCTGGCAATGCAGCAATACCTTGTCTGGAAGTCTTTGGTCTTTAAGGACCTGAACCTTTAGACCTAAACACTAGTGGCAGGATAGGTTTTTTTGGCTCATGGTATAAATGAACCTTGGGGCGTTTTGGAGATATATTACAAATATCGTATTCTCTTGGAGTTGGTTCTCATGTGGGAATTTACTGATCCTGGGTCATTCTCCCTTTCAGATCCAGCTATTAGGAATTTTAAGGTCAGGATCCTTACGGTTCTGCTATCCTCTTCATGCATTTTTGGATTGCGTGTAGTGTCTGAACCTCAATTTTTAAGAAATCAAATGTATTAAGATATAAGATTGTAGATTAAATGATCTTGCAGATTAATCTGTTGCACAAGGCTCAGCATAAAAACGGTGAATTTAGAAATCTTTCATCTGTAGCATATCTCTAACTAAAAGTCAAGAACCCATACATGCATAATTCAGGATAGCTTATATGTTGGGATGCCTTGCAGTGTTGTGACAATTCTAAAATTCATGTTGTGAAGTCTGGTGAGTGCAAAGGGAAAGTGTCTTCCCATTTTCTGGGCAGTGATTTCTTCTGGAGGCCCTAACCATTTTCTCCAAGCTGGTGCTCCATGGATCTGTTGGGCCTAAATCTTACATTATCACTCCTCTGCCACCCAGAGTACCATGGTAGAGAAGGAAGACTTCAGAGTCACATAAGCTGTCTACCCACATAATTGTGAGCTTTCTGTTATTTCAGATGAACTCAGTAGTTTAACGCTTATCATACTTAGTTTTGGTAGCGAGTAGCTGGCTGACTAAGCTCTTTAAATATCCGAATTCAAAAGGCTCATAATAATCTTGGCTTTAAATTTCTTCCAGAAAATAATTTTCAAAGAAAGGGGAGAAATGATGTTGACAACTGAAGTGTTACCCTTAATATTAGTAAGGGAATTATAGAAATATCAAAGCAACTGGTTTGGAGCAGACTTGTTCTAATCTGCTCTGAATGAGCAAATAATCTAGGATTTACCTCAGTTTTGATCTTATTCCCCAACCTAGATTTGTTGGGGCTTTAGCACCCATCCCCACCTTCTTCTCCATCACCAGTATAGCCAAACTGCCACGCTAGCAAGAAATTAGGCAAGTGAAATCTAATAAACCTTTGAGAGGAAGTGCTGAGAAAAATAAAGCTGGGAAAGTTGTTTTTGACAATTCACTACAAGGACAACTGAACAATCCTGTCAGTACCTCTTGAAATTCGGTTCGTTCTTTGTCAGGCCTCTAGAGGCAAGAGAGCAGAGGGAAGGCCTCTTAACACAGTGGTGTTAAACTCAAAGCCCAGGGGCTGGATCCAGCCCACAGGGTGCTTAAATCTGGCCCACAGGGCTGCTCTGTGCCTCTGCCAGTAAAAATGGGCTCCCAAGCTGCATTTCCAACTGCAATGGCCTCTTGCAATCCTCTGCCAGCACCAACAGAGCTCAGGAGGGCCACGTGCAGCTGCAAAAGGCCATTGCAGATAGGGAATGGAGCTTGGGAGCCCATTTTTGCTGGCAGAGTGCTCGGGCCTCCACAGGCACCCTCAACACAAGAGACGCTGAGTTGGCTATGCCCAGTCTGGCCCTTGAGGTCAAACACAACCCCAATGCAGCCCTCAATGAAATCGAGTTTGACACCCCTACCTTAGCAGATTGAATTCATGTCCAGATACTGCAAAACCCAAGGGCAACACTGCACAGAAATTCCATTCTCGTGGTTCCTCTTGTCCTTGGAACCATCCATGCACAGTTTGTCTTCACCTTCTAACCATTCATTTAATGACCTGATGTGCTCATGGGGATGCTGCAGTGGTCGTAAGTGTGAAAAATGAGCATAAATCACTTTTTTTCAGCGCTGTTGTAATTTTGAACGGATGGATATAACACTTCATTTAGTGAGAGTTCTAAGTTACAATGGCACTGAGAAAAGTGACTTATGACCATTTTTCACAGTTACAACCTTTGCAGTATCCCCATGATCATGTGAACAAAATTCAGTTGCTTGGCAACTGACTCATATTTATGACGGTTGCAGTGTCTCAAGGCCATGTGATAATCTTTTGCGACCTTCTGACCAGCAAGGTCAATGGGGAAGCCAGATTCATTTAACAACCAGGTTACTAACTTATCAATTACAGTGATTCACTTAACAACTGTGACAAGAAAGGTTGTAAAATGGGACAAAACTCACTTAACAAATATCTCACTTAACAAAAGAAATTTTGCGCTCAATTGTGGTTGTTAGTCAAGGATTACTTGTAGTTAGTAATATGGTTGTTAAGTGAATCTGGCTTCCCTATTGACTTTGCTTGTCAGAATGTGGCAAAGGGTGATCACATAATCCCGGGACACTGCAACCGCCATAAATATGAGTTAGCTGATCAAAATTCATATGCCTGGCAGTCATAAATGTGAAAAACAGACATAAGCCACTCTTCTCAGTGCCATTGTAACTTAGAACTGTCTCTGAATGAACTGTTATAAATCAAGGACTACCACGAAAAAAGTATAAATATTTTTTAAAAAAATATCAAGGACTACCTGTATACAACTGCAGTAGTTCACTTAACAAATATGGCAAGGTGTTTCATCCCCTTTCCAACAATTTTATAGTACTAAGGGAGGTTGTCATATTAATATATTATAATAGAAACAGCGAAGGATGTTATGACAAAGACTAAAATCAGCATGAATTTACATGACTTTTGTGGATCAGTCTACTTCATTAGACATAGGTAACATTATTTTGACAGAAGTGTAGTGTATATGCAGCATAGATAGGTATAGATTAGATATAGATATATAGATATAGATATAATGTATACACAAACACATAAGAGCCGCGATGGCGCAGTGGTTAGCATGCAGTACTGCAGGCTACTTCTGCTGATTGCCAGCAGTTCAGCAGTTCGGTTCTTACTGGCTTAAGGTTGACTCAGCCTTCCTCCTTCCAAGGTCAGTAAAATGAGGACTCAGATTGTCGGGGGGCAAAATGCTGACTCTGTAAACTACTTAGAGAGGGCTGTAAAGGACTGTGAAACGGTGTATAAGTCTAAATGCTTTTGCTATAATCTCTATCCAAGATTTAGGGAATAGTCAGAAAGGAAAACGGAGAGGTTGCCATCTCTAACATAAATCAAGGTCAGTAAACCTGTCCAAAAATAAATAGGATCATTTGAAAAAAAACCTCATGTATCTTTAGGGATTGCAGGCTTAGACTTGGCTCATGTATTTGATTCACCTGGAGCAGAGGTGAGAGCTATGGCCCTTTATGACTTGTGGACTTCAACTCTCGGAATTCCTGCGCCAGCATAGGTAAAAGGGCCATGGTCCCCTAACATTGACCTAGAGCAAGGGTAACCAGCCCTGTGGACCCATTTAATGAAGGGTAGGGTAGGGTAGGGTAGGGTAGGGTAGGGTAGGGTAGAGTAGAGTAGAGTAGAGTAGAGTAGAGTAGAGTAGAGTATTAGCCAAGTGTGATTAGACACACAAGGAATTTGTCTCCGGTGCACAAGTTCTCCATGTACATATAACAATAGTGATAGATCATTATCATAGTCATTGTAAAAATACATTCTTCATAAAACATTAGATACAACACAGTGATAGTCATGGATACTAAATAAGCAATCAACATAAATCATACTAGGATACTAAGTAAACAATATAAATCATAAGATACAAGCAACGGTTATAGTCATAAGATTATAACCTTATGGCCATATAAGGTTATAGTCATAAGAAGATAAGGTGATAGGGAATAGGGAAGATGAGAATAATGATGGTACAGCCTTACTAAATAATTTGACAGTGTTGTGGGAATTAGTTGTTTAGCGGAGTGATGGCATTGGGGGGCGACTGTCCTTGTGTCTAGTTGTTATGGGGGGGTGGGGGAATTGCAACAATAGTTTGGGGACAATGATGGAAAGTGAATGGGGCTGCATCATACACAAGGGAGAAGAGCTTAGCTTGATCATTGCATCATTTAGTTTGGCAAAGTGGGCAAAATCTTCCTGACCCTTCCTCATGCTATGCAGGGTCCTAACATCTTCTGTGTTTCTCTTCCTTTCCAGCCATGGTGCCTATGGGGAGAAATGCCGGGTTGCCTTACCTGCTGTGCCGTGGGTGACAAACACTCTATTGACAGCTGTGCCCTTGAGTCTCCCGCGCAGTCTCAGAGTGGCTCACTCATCAATTTACAGAGAGAGCCTGGAACACAATGAACAAACTGAACTTCCACAATAACAGAATCATGCAGGACCGACGAAGTGTCTGTATTTTCCTCCCCAATGACGATTCCCTCAACATCATTATCAACGTGAGTGAGCTGTCACCAATATCAGTGTTTGAATATCTATTGTTCTTTAAACACACAACCTATGCAAGAGCAGAAAATTGCATTGGTGGTTTATCTTCCAATCTTAATGCAAGTACTTCGTGATTAACAAGCACAATTGGGACCCATAGCACAATTTCCATTGCTAAGCTAAGTGATTCTTACCCAATTTTATAATGCTTTTATGATGGTTGTTAAGCAAACCACTGCAGTTGTTAAGTGAATCATGCAGTTTTTAAATAAATCCAGTTTTCCCCATTGCTTGTTGGAAGCTGGCTGGGAAGGTTGCAAAAACCCTGGGATGCTGCAACCATCCTAAATACATGCCAGTTTCCAAGCACTGAAATGTTGATCATATGGCCATGGGGATGCTGCAGCTATCGTAAGTGTGAGACTGGTTGTAAGTCACTGTTTTCAGCCTCACTGTAAGTTTGAATGGTCCTTAAACAAATGTTTGTAAGGCAAGGACCACCTGAAAGCCAATCTTTGAGAGTTTTGGGAGATGCTCATAGTTTGATCAGTTTTGCGCTTATACTTTAATGCTACTTTGATTCCTCAAGCATTCACATCCAGCATGCTTCTCTCGAGTCTCAGAACATTTCCATCAAGCTTTCTTTGGCAGGTAGATATTTTCAAAGACACAACTCAAGCCCATATAAAGACGCACAATTGTGGAGGACTAAATGTTGTACAGGAAGTCCTTGACTTACAACCACAACTGAGCTCAAAAGTTCTTTTGCTAAGCAAGGCAGTTGTTTAAAACACGCTCTCCTTGCCTCTAATCTCTCTCTTCTGTCTTCTTATCTTTTTAAAATTCTTTTTCCCCTTGGGGTGCTCTTTTATTCTTAGTGGGGGGGGAATTAAAAAACCCAGATCCGATACACTTTCCTTTCGTTTCTTCTTCCGTTCCGAAGCTGTCCCAGCCTTTCAGCAGCTTTCAATGGCCGCTTTCCGCTGCAGACGGTTTAGGGAGCTTTCCCTGGATCAACCAGGGACTTTGCGATGTCCCTGGGATCAGCAGAATGTGCTCCCCTTGTTCACCATCTCTTCGGGACGGTTTAGGTCCAAATGGACCGTCCAGCTGCAGGATTTTGACTGCTTTTCAGGAGCCCCCGAATCACCATCGTCTCGCCGTGACGTCAGCCCCACCCTCCCGGCAAGGCAAAAGTTAAGTGACTTTTGCTCCATCTTACCACCTTTCTTGCCACAGTTATTAAATGATTCACTGTAGTTGTTAAGTTTGTAACACGGTTGTTAAGTGAATCCTGCTTCTCCATTGACTTTGTTTGTCAAAAAGTGGCAAAAGGTGATCACATGACCCAGGTCACTGCAACCGCCATAAATATGAGTCAATTGCCAACCGTCTGAATTTTGATCATGTGACCAGGAGGATGTCACAACAATCATGTGAAAAATGGTCATAAGTCACTTTTTTCAGTGTTGTAACTTTGAACAGTCACTAAACAAACTGTTGTAAGTTGAGGACTACCTGTATTTTTGGGAAACTGCAACGATACTAAGTCTTGCTTTTAAGCCATACTTCCATCATTCTTTCCATCAGCTTTGTTGTTGTTTTAATACCAATCCCCTGATTTCTATTTGAGAAATAAAATGTATCATTTATTTTTGGGAAGAACCGTAAATGGAGTTAATGTGCAGTTTTGTTTTGGTAAATTTGTGGGGAGGAAAAGGGTGAGTTTGGCTTTCCTTTTTTTTCTCCTGCCCCCAAGGCATCCAACATTGCTTTATCTGATGATTTTTAAAAATCTGATTTACTTCTGAGAAGGCAAATGACAAATCTATCCATTACCCAAATTGTTTAGCCAGTGCAAACGTCGTAGGATGGCTGAAACTCATCTTCCACAAATGCTCCTGCCATTGCTGACTTCTACAAATTGCCTTTTGAAAATAAGAGTACTTTTCTAACTCTTCATGGTCTCATCACTATCCTTAAAACATTCTGTCAACTAAAGGAAACAGAAAGCAGCTGTAATCTTACCATATCTCTATTTCTCTTCCAGAAGTTGTTTATCTCAGCTCAGCAGTAAGAATAGATTTGTTTTTGGAAATAGGAGGCTTTGAGTTTAATATCTTAATTGTTTGGTGTTGCATAAAATGTTGCATTCTTGGTGTTCTCCGAACTGAGTTTTCTTCTGGCAGATGCTTCATTCCCAGATCACGTAATATCACCTAGTCTGAGAATAAAATATCTGCCAGAAGACAACCAAGCTCCGAGAACACCACAAACCAAGAAATTCCATCCTAAGCAAAATGTATTCTCCATTTTTGCTTTATAAAAATGTCTACATTTCCTGACCAAATGTTTCTTCAGTTCAGTGACTTTTTAGGAATTAGAGAGCTTTATCCTATGTTTTTTTTAATCTAATTGGACCATTCTCCATCCTCTTTTCTATATCTTTTTGTTTGCTTGTTTTAAAGAGATGCTTACACTGCTCTTTTGTTGCTTCTTGTCACTAAGCTTGGCTTAGTGCCTTCCTGACAAGATTCTTGCAGGTTCAAGAGAGAGCTGCTGGAAATGAGATAATGTCACAGTGGGTTGGCGTATTTTATTTACCTTCTTTTATCAAAATTGGCACTAAATTGATACATGAAGCAGGTGCCATCTTTCTCCCTAGCTCCTCACAATTAAATCTCACCAAATCCAAATTCTTAAATTAAGCATACAAAATAGCAAAAGATTAGATTTGAGGACTTCTCAGTGTGATGGATTTTGCTAGTTTCCTATTTGTTATTAGTTTTTTTTAAAAAAAAGAAGAAAGATTAGATGAATTCTAATGAGTTGCATTTTGTCAGATGGAGCCAGCAAAAGTTAGCAAGCCGTGAAAGCCTAGGGGACTCTTGCGTTTATGTAATTTGTAATATAAATAATTCAGTCTGCTTTGGCCATAGCTTGCTGGGTCTATTTTTCTTTTCTTTTGCATTCTGTAGGTTAAAATATTGTGCCATGAGTTACTTGTCCAAGTTTGTGACCTGCTACGGCTGAAAGATGGGCATCTCTTTGGGCTCAGTGTGATACAAAGTAAGTCCAAATGGAACAATATTATTTCTGTAATTCTCTACTAGCTTTATGTTTGGATCATTGATCTTTGCTAAACCTGTGCTTTTTTTGCCCAAAGATTGTTTGGTATTTGTTTGCTGCAGAAAAATTGAATTGATGAAGTAATATTTCCCAGTATAGTGTAACAATAGATCAGTGTCATAGACACTGGTGTAATGATTAAGCCACCAGGCTACAAACCCAGAAGTCTAGGGAGGCACAGTCCTAATATTAGCACAAACATAACAGGATAGCCTTGAGCTAGTCACTCTTTCTCTCAGCCCTAGGAAGGAGCCAATGGCAAACCATTTCTGAAATCTTGCCAAGCAAATTGCAGGGATTAGTCCAGGCAGTTGCCAGGAGTCTGTACTGATTTTTAAAGTTTTTTTTAAAACCCGTATTGTAGGCTAGTCTCTCATTAAGATGTATCATAGTTTGTTTGATTTGGGCTTAATCACTCTAAGAATCTAACCTTTTGGTTTAATGCCTCGGCGCATTACATGAACCAAGATTAGTCTTCATTATTTAATAAATTAAGTAAACTATGCCAGCCAAATATGCAAATTTGGTCAATAACTTTGTTTATAAACTGAAGCAATGGGTTGAAGCTGCAGCTAAAAAATGACCATGCCTTGCAAAAACTATAATTGATTCTAAAATATAAAAACAAAACAAAACTAGAGTCCTTGAAATAAGATCAAATTCCCAAGGGCAGGTAATTGGTTAGATAATACTTTGTTACTTAGACCTTTACCATAGCTAGAAAGAAGTATCAGAATAAAAGTATAGAAACATTGAGCTATCAGGTTTCTCCTTAAAGAATCAAACTTTCTTAAACAAACAAAAGAATGTCATTAGCATTGCTATATTATTTGCACTAGTTATGCAAATATGCAATTTTTGCAACATTTTTAAAAAGTGGACAAGTTGTGCTAAGAAGAACAAATTATTGAATGCCGTGTTTTTCTAAATGTCAATTTCCTAAAGGAAAGCTTATGAGGAAATTCTTTCTATCTTTTTTTTTCCAGTAGAATTGCTTTAGCTGGTCCACAAAAGCAGCTTTATAAACTTGGCTTTCCTTAGTTATAAGTGCATCATTGTTACTGTTTTTAAAAGAATGTCAGAAAATGCTTTGCTCAGCCTGTATACAAAATACAATCTTCTTGTCCCTTTCTGTGGCAGATAATGAGCATGTCTATATGGAGTTATCCCAGAAGCTCTACAAGTACTGCCCAAAAGAATGGAAGAAAGAAGCGAGTAAGGTAGGAGTGCCACTCTGGCTTCATCTTTGTGATCAGGAGGACTGAAGTAGGGAGCAGCTGTCTACTTACATCACAAGCTTGCCTTTCTTTGCCATTGCTCTGGCTAGTAGTTTATGCACTCTAGCCTTATTCACCCCACCATATGTGTGAGGCATTAGCAGAAGGGCCGTCTGACCTCAGTGTCAGTTACCTCATACACAAGTACAGCATTGGGGTTACTTCATCGTGATGGTTCTCCTACAGTGAGCATCTGAGAGAGAAACACAAGCTGCTGTTCAGCTTCTAGAGGCAATTTCTGCATGAACTCAAAAAGTCCTAAATACCGAATGTTCCTAGCTATAGTGGGGAACACCTGTGACCTTAGTGGGATCATATCAACCCCTGGAGCATTATAGTTTTATGGTTCCTATGGTTGTCCATATATCTGCAATGTCTTTGGAAGCAATCAGAAAATGGAGAAAATCGCAAAAACTATAAAATCTCTGCATCTCTGCTGCTGCTGGTGGTGAGGAGGAAGAGGAGGATTTAATTTTTTATCCCCCCCCCCCCCACAACTTTCAATGATTCAGCAAGAGAATGGGCAGCAACTAGAAAGGGATTTTGTACAGGAAAGAGCATCCTCGGAGCATCTTTCTCAGCTACCTTCATTAAATTCAGCTCCATCACAGTCTTCAAAACAATTTGAATTAGCTCAGAGGAACCCAAGCTTTTTGGCCAGTGAGCAAAGGTTAAATTTGAGAAAATTGCCCCTTCACAAAAGGAAAACCATCGTGGTGGCACAAAAAGCAACAAAAAAGCAGCCAAGGATGTCCTCCCTGAGGCTTATTATATCTTAATACACCTTGAATTTTCAAATGATCTAGACCAGGGATAGGGAAACTTGGCTCTTTTATCACTTATGGACTTCAATTCCCAGAATTCCTGAGTGAGCCATAAAAGGTTCCCCATCCCTGGCCTACTGGTTTTTCAGTTGTGGTGGAAATCAATGTTTGACTTGAATGGGACTGTTTAATATACAAATGTAGGATATGTAGGAAATGTAGACATATATGTCCTACATTTGTATATTAAACAGTCCCATTCAAGTCAAACATTGATTTCCCCCACAACTGAAAAACCAATAGGCCAGGGATGGGGAACCTTTTATGGCTCGCTCAGGAATTCTGGGAGTTGAAGTCAATAAGTGATAAAAGAGCCAAGTTTCTCTACCCCTGATCTAGACTACTACTTTAAGCAGTAGACTAAATTAAACCAAATACATTCGCCTATGCTAATTTTTAAAGTTGTGATCTTTGACATCTTTTAGTAAGTCCTGCCCCTTCTGGACATAGTGAGGATGATAAAATAGTTATGGCTTGAAGCCTGAAGGACTCCAAGAAAGTGGAAACACATTGTTACTCCTGGGCATTGCATTGGAGCCCCACTGGGCCCACTAGCCTTACAGTAAAACAGCCAGCAGCTTTAATTTAGCCTCAGAGCCATTTTAAAGACACTTTTATTTCCTTTTTTTCCAGAGCAAATAAGATGCTAAATAAGTAGAAGCTAAGTAATCTCCAGTTGATAGGCAATTTTCTAAGAAATGAAATATTAACCAAAAGTTCCCTGTTCTCTAATTCCACAATTTATTTATTTTTCAGCCTGATTTCCCATCTCGGTCATAAAACTGACTCGAGTCCAGTTATCATTAAAATGTAGTAACATCATGCACTCCAAAACAAATGATACAGTGAAGAACATAACCTATATAACCTAGTCAGTTGTGCCAAACGCTTCAAAAGATCTCGGCTCTCATTTATGAAATGAGATCTCAGAAAGGTTTGAACTTGTCCCAAGATAAATTAAAGGAATATGGGGAATATCTCATAAAATTAACATTGGAGTCCTGTGAGATTTGACCTACCCTCTCCCTCCTACTCCCCAGTCACTGTATCCTTTGCTGTATCCAGACAAAAGAGCAAATAATGAAGCTCAGGCATCACTTGGGGTGGAGAATGATCTAAATTTTGGGTTAAGGTCTCATTCCACTTGTGAATTGATGGACAAAATGTTATAAACAGTGTGTTCCTGCACACTTCTGTCAATCTCCTTGGCAAAGATGATTGCAATTTAGCCAGCTCTGTTTCTCCATCAAAGTGTGCCTCCAGCTGGTGCTCCTTATAAAAACAGACAGAATAATTAGAAAAAATAGAATCTCAGTTTTCTGGACAAAGATACTCATCATCATAGATGTAGCTGACTGCCAGTTATTAAGAGGAGGACTGCTCTTTAGAAGGACAGATCCTGAAGATGAAACTCAAATACTTTGGCCACCTAATGAGAAGGAAGGACTCACTGGAGAAGAGCAAAATGCTGGTAAAGATTGAGGGCAATAGTAGAAGGAGACAATAGAGAATGAGGTGGCTGGATGGAGTCGCTGAAGCAGTAGGTGTGAGCTTCAATGGACTCCAGAAGATGGTAGAGGACAGGAAGGCCATGGGATTGCGATGAGTCGGACACAACTTCACAACTAACAACAACAACAATCCTTTAAAGGCTGGACACAAGCGAGAGGTGGTTGCAAATGGCCATCTCAGCAACCCCTGTAGGAATAGAAAGTGGACTAGATATACTTTTGGGCTGATCCAACAAAGGTCTTTTTATGGACCTCCCTTTGCTCAGTCTGGAAACTAACATTTATATTTGCTATTTATTGCAGGGTATAGACCAGTTTGGTCCCCCAATGATCATTCACTTCCGAGTGCAGTATTATGTGGAGAATGGTCGCTTGATCAGGTAAGTTTCAGGAAGCCAGGCTACTAGGGTGGGGGGAATGTGTATTCATCAGAGAGTCCTGTTCAAATCCTTGATGCTAGAGGATTGCAAAAAATAAGTAGTGGCTCTCAGAATTGTCCACAAGTTATTTCAACTTTCTGCCAGGAAATCTGGAAAGATATAATCCCAATAAATATATGGAGGCCATAGCTTGGGAAAAATTGCACTGGCATATTACCAAATCTTCAGCAATGGGGCTCTTTGAGATTTTTCATCAAGATAATTTGTCCTGTTTACCTGTTTTTAAAAAATCTGCAGGCTGTCATTGAAGATGAAAGCCCTCACAAGGCTTACCTAAATCTGATAAAGTAATAAAACAGTATGAAAGTTAATAAAATAAATAAACAGCAGCAGGATAAATGTTAAAGCAATGAAGCAACAGTGAGAAGAAATTCACATCAGCGGGGACATTCATAGCAAGAAGTCAACATGTAGGGGAGAACTGAGATGGCCTTGGGGGGAAAAATGTGCAGCTACCTCCAGAAAAACATGAGCTTCGCCTGGGAAAATAGGAAGGCCTAAGAAAGAAACTCAAGGGTGTTCTGCCTTGACTCTCTTTGGTGTAAGAGGGAGGGAAGGGAAAACGCTGCCAGACTTTCAAGTTTCTGTTATCCGTGTTTCTCAACTTTGGACTTCAACATGCTAAATGGGAATTCTGACAATTGAGATCCATATGTCTTAAATTTGCCAGGTGCGAGAAACTTTGTGTTATCTTAATAAAACAGAGTTCTTCTATTTCTTATGGTGTATATTTCCTGACCTGGTCTACCCCAAAGGATGGACACAAAAGTCAGAATGGTAACTTCAATGGTATGGTTGCAGGGGCCTTCTTGACATTTTGGTCCAACTCCTCTCCCCACTCTCAGGTGCTCTCAGGTTTAAGGCATTATCAAAGATGTGGGAGAATAATGTTAATCTGTATACAGATTAACTTCAATCAGATTGCCTTAAATCGGGTTTAATATTTTGTTAATCCAGGGATAAGGGTTTGAATGCTCTGCCATCAAGCATCTAAAAGCTGCCAAATGAGACCAGCATATACAGGTTCTTCTGCTACAGTGTGCTCCTTATCTCTGGTTTTCTTGTTTGCTCCATGTTCTGAACCTTTGCTCATTTTTTTCCTTCTTCTTTCTTTCATCTTCTCATTTATGTCCAGTGACCGAACTGCACGCTACTATTATTACTGGCATCTGAGGAAACAAGTCCTGCGTTCTCAGTGCATGCTGCGCGAAGAGGCCTATTTCCTCCTAGCAGCCTTTGCATTGCAGGCTGACCTGGGCAATTTCAAAAGGAACAAGCATTTTGGGAAATACTTTGAACCCGAAGCATACTTTCCTGCGTGGGTAAGAGCGCCTTCCAAAACCCCTTCTTGTCTTCAAGGGATTGTTCCTTGTTTACTTTGAATGCTGAAACACAAACCAAGCCTGCAGGGCGAGGGTTTTTTTTTGGCCATTTCCGCAAACCTTTCATGCAGAAGATGCTGTTTTGGTACAGAGTTGGCCAGTGTCCCCCCCATCAGCTGGATAAAATGCAGAAGGTCACAGTAGGCCTTTTCAGCTTTGCCAGAGCCAAGAAGGTTTTTGAAGAAATTTGGCCACTGGGTCTTCTCTCTGCTTAGTTTTTATAATGGTAAAGGGAGGGAGGGAGGAAATATGGCTGTTTGGTCAACTTTGCTATCGGTGTGTTTAGCCATTTGAAGCAATTGTGAGACTCATAGCAACTGTGCAAAGGACAGAAATACCAAAGGAGTTTGTTTCACTTGATCCATTTTAATGATGCTGTATGGCTGGACAAGAACTCAGAAGAGATGTATGGTGTGGCTTCCTGGCTTTTTCTAATAACTGGTGGTATGTTGCAAAGATTTCTAGACCAAGCTAATTTTCAGGCCTGGCATTGTTGCAGCCTGTTGGATCTCTCAGAATTGAGAGAAGCTATAAAGAAAACCAGAACTTCCTTAAAATAGTGCTTTGCAAGGGAAACTCGGTGATAACAAAAGAGCTTTGCTTCCATGGGGGCACAATTTGAAAATCTAATATGTTGGACCTTACTCACTGAATAAGTTGTCATAGGGAGGATCAAGGTGCAACATGCCTTATATCAGAGCACTTTTCCATGTAATCAAGTTTGATTTGGTAGCATAGCAGCAGTTCTCCAAATTTATAGGAAGGGACTTTCACCATCTGTAGTAGCTATTGAGGTCCTGTAGATGGCACTAGCAGCATGCTGCAGCGTCTAATACCTATAGGGGCCTCTTTGCTATTGCATGATTTCATTCTCTATCTTGGGTGGGAAAGTCCCAGACTTATAGGTGATCTCATTTTACTAAAATCACCACTATTCTTAAGGATTGGTTGGGAGGTTTCACCCATGTGATATCTATTATCCAATCCAAATGCTGTATCAAAGGTTACTCTTCCTTGCTTGTAAAAATGGTATAAAAGAATAAACGCTGCCCAGGCAGTCAGACATCTTGGCACCCTGCACAATGATTGGTCATTAAAGCCCATCAACCATCACCTGCTACTGTATCCTTTTGAGTAAAAATGCTGGAATATTCTACGGTAGTCCTCATTGAATGACTGCTCATTCAGCAACCATTCAAAGGGATGACAATGCTAAGTGAAGGGAGACTTACTATAGGTCTTGGTCATTGCAACATCCCCACAATCACGTGATTATGATTTGGGTGCTTGGCAACCAGCTTGCAATTACAATGGTCACAAAATCCCATGGTCACATGATCGCTATTCTCAGTCTTCACTGCCAGCTTTGGACAAGCAGAGTAGGTGAGGAAGCCATCAGGCGGTCACAAATGGTGATCATGTGAGACACTGAAAACTTGCTGAGTTCACTTAACAATAATGACACTGTTGCAACTGCGGTTATGTGACATGCTTTACAACTGCGTTGCTTAGCAGTGGAGTTGTGGGTCCCAGTTACCATTGTTAAACAAGGACTGTCTGTATATGAAAAACATGTGCTGTGCCACAGTGTGTAAGTCTACAGTAAAGCCTTTGTCAGAAACTTCTGTAGGGGCAACAGCCATTCAGAGGCCGCAATCTCTAGAATGTTCCGTTTCCCTTCTGAACCACATGGAACCTCCTATGGACTACAATTCCAGGTAGCGCCCAGCAGTTTCTGGAAGTAACTCCTCTGAATCAAAAATAGTGTGAGAAATGATGCGTACAGAGGGTGTGTGTGTGTGTGTGTGTGTGTTTTGATGGACTACAGTGAAGCAGCAGTTTCCCTGGAAGGAAAAGGATGAGAGAAGAACCGCCATAGCCCGGAGCTGGATAGGAGACAGAATAGCTACTCCCTAGAATCTCACAGGGTATATCCATTAGTAAGGGTTTAATCTAGCAAGATTCTTTGTATTGTTTGTAAGCAAATGGAACTCTGTATTGTTCTATGTCATTTTTGGGCTTAGCCTGACAAGGAGTTTGAATGCGCCAGGTATTCCAAACAAAATATCCTCTTTTAATTTTATCTTCACAATAAAAAAAATAAAACTTTAGAATGCTGTATCTGGGATGCTTCAAACTGCTTCTAAGATAATGAAAACCTTCATAGGGAGGCATGGATGATGCTGTATGTTGGAGAGAGGATGTAGAAGTTGTGATGTGTAAGAGGAGGTAGATCCCCTTCTTTGTCAGGCAGTGGGACCTCATGTGCTACTCTTGCTTCAGAGGTAAGATGTTTTTATTTATGCATATGATTACTTGTTCTGGATCGTAACTTACCTCATCTGCATATTTGTCCCCGGAGAAGCAGATAGTTTATAGAGATTTGGCTGTCTTTTTTACATTGGTTAACTGTAACCATATCAGAGAAATCATTCATAGTTTCAGGAAGGAGAGGTAACCTGTTGTAACCCGTGTTTCTGGAATAATGTAAGAGCTAGAGCAGTGATCCCCAACCTTTTTTATGCCACGGCCCGGTATCCCCAACCTTTTTTATGGCGCGGCCCGGTACCGGCATCAGCTGGGCGCCGCCATCTTCTTTTGATGAAAAAGTGCTTCTGGTGAGCTCACCGGAAGCACTTTTTCATCAAAACAAGATGGCAGCGCCCAGCACTTCCGGTGAGCTTTTCCGGGTAGAAATGGCTTTCTACCTGGAAAAGCTCACCGGAAGCGCTGGGCGCCGCCATCTTTTTTTGATGAAAACGTGCTTCCGGTGAGCTTTCTACCCGGAAAAGCTCACCGGAAGCACTTTTTCATCAAAACAAGATGGCGGCGCCCAGCAAACCAGCGGCCCAGTAGGACTTGTTCCACGGACCGGTACCGGTCCGCGGACCGGTGGTTGGGGACCCCTGAGCTAGAGGGTAGTGAGTAAAAGAGGAGCAAATTGGGGCCCATGAAACGAGAGTACGTGCTTGGAGTTAAAGAACAGGGATGGAATAACAGGAATTTGTGAGCATGTGAAAAGATCTTCCCTGGCTGTGCCTTGTGGTACTATGTGATTGTTTGTGGCAGCCAATGCTTCAGCTGGAATGTTTGATAGTGGCGGGTGCAGCAGCTGTGGGCATCCCCAGAATAGATTCTAGTTATAAAGAGAGGGTGATGTCATGGGGGAATGCATAACAGAGACATTCTGTTTGGTGCAATACAACAACATGGGTGGAGGGAGGCGTAGAGAAGAAGTCAGTTAACTGTTTTATTGCCTTCAAGTTGCCTGGCCTAAGGGGGGAGGAGCCAACTTTCCAAATGTGGCCCATCTTCATGTCATCATCCTTGTAGTTACCATCATGTAGGCCAGGGGTGTCAAACTTGACTTCATTGAGGGCCGCATCAGGATTGTGTTTAGGTGACCTCAGGGGACTGGAGTAGGCATGGCCAGGGTGGGTGTGTCCAGCTCGACGTCACTCCTGTCGGGGGCGCCTGTGGGGGCCCGAGTGCTCCGCCAGTGAAAACAGGCTCCGGAGCTCCATTTTCAGCTGCCATGGCCTCCTGCAACTCTCTGCCACTGAAAACGGAGCTTATCAAACAAAACAATATTGTTTGTTTGTATCTAACAAAAATAGCAACCAAGCCCATTGTTCCTTCCATAAGCTGAAAATACTATTAATCAATGCTAAAATGACATCATAGTTGCATCCCAAATTTTTGATCCTTTTTTTAGGTGGCAGAAAGAAGGAGTAATTTTACTGCAGGACAATTTTGGGAGGGAAAGTCTAAAATGCAACTTTTAGAAACTATACAAAGAGAAGAAAGTCAAAACTTTTCTCTGGTATTCCAAGATGTATGTCCTGGAATAAAACATTAATTTTCTGGAAAGTTGATAACAGTAAGAATAGTTTAACAATTGCTTAGAGAGGTGATGTATTCAAGGGCCAACTGGCCAATTTATTTTGGAATCTTTCTAGGAGAAATTGCATTAAAATGATAATTCAGTCGTAGCAAAAGATCTATTAGATGAAAAATATAATGGGTTCTATTTCTGGGGTCTGTGAAAAAAAACATGGCAAATGCTGGAAGGATGTCTCCTGGTTTTTGCAGATGCAGCCTTATACTCTGCGGATATGTTGGGACTACAGGCTCAGAATTCATAGCCAGCAGTTATTTCCCTGTACAGACAAGCACTCCTGGAATTATGCCCCCAATGCTGGCTGGGGAATTCTGGGAGTTGAAGTCCACCCATCTTAAAGGTGCTGAGGTTGAGAAAGACTGGTGTATGGCAATGTGGCATATTAGCATAAGGCAGCTTCATGCATCAAATGCTTGTGGTGAAACCTTCCTTCAAATATTGTGCAATGGAAACATGGTTTGATAGCTTTTATAGTAGGTGAACTGAGCTCTTCTCAAGTTCTGCCAACTCCCAAGTTGGTGTAAACTTGCCAGGTAAGAAGATAATAACCTCTCAACAGTGTTGACTCACTGTTTCCATTTTAAGCCAACTTCCCAGGAGTATTTTAATATCCCCTCTCCTCTGCTTTGTTTTTGAAAGCCATGGATGTCAGCTAGTACAGGCAGCCATAGAGGCAAGATCTATTGGTCTTTTAGACTCACTCTTACATCTGGGCTAAGGGCTGCGTACTATCAAATATTACGTGCAGGGAAGCGGTGGTGGATGGTGTGCATATTCTCATCTCGTGTTTTCAAACTTTCAAAAGAGGTTGGCCTCTTTTAAGAAACAGAATGCTGAATTAAGGCAAGCCTTAGCCTGATTCAACAGGGTGTCGGGTTCTAAGAGATGCAACCATTATATTATATTATATGATCTAAGTGCTAGAGCCCACTGCAACTACATAGCCAAAAAGGCATTAAGAGTTGTTAACCTAATCCTACGTAGCTTTTTCTCTGGTAATATCACACTACTAACCAGAGCATACAAAACATTTGCTAGACCAATACTTGAATACAGTTCATCAGTCTGGAACCCACATTATGTATCTGATATTAGCACAATTGAGAAAGTCCAGAAATATTTCACAAGAAGAGTTCTCCACTCCTCTACTCGTTGTAGAATACCTTATGCCACCAGACTTGAAATTCTAGAACTAGAAAACCTTGAATTACGCCGTCTTCGGTCTGACTTAAGCATGGTATATAAAATCATACATTGCAATGTCCTACCTGTCAATGAATACTTCAGCTTCAACCATAACAACACAAGAGCACACAATAGATACAAACTCAAAGTAAACCGCACCAAACTTGATTGCAGGAAATACGACTTCAGCAATAGAGTGGTCAATGTCTGGAATACTCTACCCGACTCTGTAGTTTCTTCCCCAAACCCCAAAAACTTTAACCTTAGACTGTCTACTATTGACCTCACCCCTTTCCTAAGAGGCCTGTAGGGGGCGTGCATAAGCGCACCAACGTGCCTACCGTCCCTGTCCTATTGTTTTTCTTATTCTTTTATTTTTCTTATATGTACCCATTTCATGTATTCACAACTATGTATACATTTATACTTATTATCTTGTAAACAATTGGCAAATCAAATAAATAAATAAATAAATAAATAAATAAATAAATAAATAAATAAATAAATAAAATATTGTTATATTCTTCACCCCTTGGTTATTCTGAAATGGAACAATCTTTTAATGCCTAAAATGTCCCAGGAAATGCATAAGCACCATTTTCATTGCCTCCAAGACATCTGGAGCAGGGAAGGCTGCAATCAGTGTGCAAAGGAGGCTGTCTCCTGGCTGTGCTAATGATTGTTGTGTTTTTATGGCTGCTGTGTATCTGCACACATTTCTTTTATCTTTTTAACACTCTCTGTCACCTAGAGTCATATAAATTGACTAAATAAATAGTTGAACAGCTCAGTGCCTGAGAATATGAACCCATATGCCCTAATAATTAACGTGTATTTTTCTTCTTGGCAGGTGGTGGCCAAGAGAGGGAAGGATTATATCCTGAAACACATCCCCATCATGCACAAAGACCAATGTGCTCTCACTGCCTCTGAGGCCCATCTCAAGTACATCAAGGAGGCTGTTCGGTTGGATGACGTAGCTGTCCATTATTATAGATTGTACAAGGTATGGAGTGAGGCTACAGCAAGCAAATCTTCGGGTAAAATGACCACTGCTAGGCAGTTTGTAATCTTTTTATGGGATGATGCCTCCCAGTCGTAATTTTAATGATTTCCCTATCATACAATTCACTCACATCACAAAAAATAAAATAAAGTAATTCTTTGGAGGTGGGCTTAGAGACATATTTTAAATTGCACGTCAAGAAGCTGCAGATTTTTTTTTAATAGCCCCTTTTCAAAAACTGGCGATAAAGATATGTGGTAAATTCTAAATCTGTGAGCATTGTGCTGCCTGGCAGCTGAGATTCAGGAGGATTTTACCTGGACTGGCATTAATTTTGTTGGATGTAATCAGGATCCTTTAGTAATTGCTTTGCAAGCAAATGTTTGAAATGTTTTTCAAAATGACAATGGGAGTGTGGATTATTCAGTGAGTTGAGTAATGCGTGCAGCTCAGAGGAAAGATGGCTTAACAATAGGAATAGACCAGAATTAATTTCCCATCTTGCATTTAAGAAGATATGCTCCCCTGATCCTGATCCAGAGAGTGATAGGTTAGCTTGCTGAATATTTTTCAAATAATTGAAATGCATTGCCCAATAGCAGCATAAGTTCCACTTTGCAGGAACTGTTCAAGATCATTGGGATGAAATTCTCTGTAGGACCTGACTTTTCCAAACTCAAGGGCTCCACTATGGATGTCTTTATCTGTGCACATCCCAAATATTAGAGCCCAGACTGGAGACAATCTCAGATTGTTTAGAATAGCAATAGCAATAAAACTTATATACTGCTTCATAGTGATTTACAGCCCTTTCTAAACAGTTTACAGTGTCCATATATTGCCCCCAACAATCTGGGTCCTCATTTTACCGACCTCAGAAGGATGGAAGGCTGAGTCAACCTTGAGACTCGAACTGCTGATAGCCGGCAATCAGCAGAAATAGCCTGAAGTATTGCATTCTAACTGTAGCCTGCAGTATTGTACTCTAACCACTGCACCACTACCACAGTAGCTATAATGACATAGTGTATGTTGGGAATGGATTTTTTTTCTAGATATTAAATTACACAATGCGGTCTTTTAAGAATCCAGAATCACCCCATTTAGATTGATACATTCATTGCTCAATTGGCATTTATTGAATTATTATTGCCCCAAGAAGCTGTTTAGTTGTTTGCACAGCAAAGTTGACCCTACTTGAAGGTATTGTAAGATTTTTATAGGCCTCCTGCTTGTTGTTTGTAGGGAGTAAGCAGGAGATGCTGGCCTATGTGTCATCTAGCTATTTTGTTGGAAAACAAGATCAGCTAAGCCTTCCTTCCAAATATCCATCCAAAGCAAAAATAAAAGTAAGAAAACCCTCCAAGCTCAAAGTGTTCATCTCGCCTACTCCAAAATAATTGTGGAGGTGCCAAAAGAATGATGCTGAAAGAGAATGAAGGTAGTCTACAAGGGGTTGGGTTCTACTCCTGCGTCTTCATCCTGATCTCTCTGAGGATTATAAGATTGTGGTCCAATCAATTCTTGCAGTGCTTAAAAAAAAACCTCAAATTCTTCTTTCATTTGGCTCAAAGGAATGTTTCTTTTCTCAATCCGCTAGTGAATATGTGTACAGATCAGGTTATCATTGATATGTCAGCCAAATGCATTATGTGGGGAAATAATGCAAGTGTATTTTCTCTCTTGTAGGACAAGAAAGAAATTGATGCTTCCCTTTCCCTTGGGCTTACCACAAAGGGAATCCAGATATTCCAGGTACATATTTCCATGACTGACTTATTGGTACAGGCCATTCAGTTACCTGTCCAGATGTGATTGAGGCCATTTCTTTTTCGGGATTCTGGCAGATGTGCCCAAGCTATGGTCCCAGGGTCTTATGTAATTCCTCAAAGCCTTCCATGTCGACTCAGTAACCTCCAAATTTGCTTTAAAAAAAAAAAACCTGAAAGGTGAAAAGTAATAAATGCCTGACCAAAGATCAATGATGCTGGGTTTAATCTTAAAATGAAGTGAAATAATTTTGGGGATCCTGCCAGGCAGGTCTGTGGCCTGACTGGACCACGCAAACAAGCAAAGGCCCATCCATGGGATGCAGGCAGCACATCAAACCACCCCTCTCAGGTCTGGGGGGAAAACCTCTCTCCTTGGAACCGGTCCCTGGTGCCCCAAAGGTTGGGGGCCACTGCCTTAGGGTAATTCAGCTCTTAACAGAAAAAAGTTGTCTGCCAAATCTAGTCAGCCAGTCCAGTCTAATCAGCACGAGTAGTACCTCATATGCAATGTGACAAGCATCATGTCAAGCAAATCATTTGAAAACCTCATGAATCTACTTTCTTTTTGACTTACGAAATAAAAAATAGTGGCTGAATTCAGTGAATAGGGCATATAGTTTCACTTTGAAAGCTGTATACTTTCTAAGATAAGTATAGCACAATCATGTTATCTTTTCTCTCTCTCTCTCTTTCTTTCTTTCAGAATGTAAACAGTGAAAGACAGCTGCTCTATGACTTCCCTTGGACCAATGTAGGAAAACTTGTATTTGTGGTGAGTAGGAAAACCTCAAAATTGGACCCTCTGTAGGATTTTGATACCAGATATGATACAACAAACAGGAGTGGTGCAGTGGCCTAGAGGTGGAGCTCTCGCCTCACAATCAGGAGGATATGAGTTCAGTTCTAGCTAGAAGCAGATATTTCTTTCTCCGGGCACAATGAGAATATATCTGCTGAACAGAACTCCGCATTGGCAACAGGAAGGGCATCCGGCCATCTTCTAGCTCCATTCAGTTGCCCAGACTCCACTCCGCAAGAGATTATGAGGTCGTTAAAAGATGATGATATGACAAACACTGTAAAAAAAAAGACAACCTGAGACAGGAAAGTCCTACGGAAAGCTACGTTAAACCGAAGTCTCTGTGTGTTGGTGAATTCCTTCATGTCTCTTGTCCTTGCAGGGCAAAAGATTTGAGATTCTGCCTGATGGCCTGCCATCTGCTCGTAAGCTCACCTACTACACTGGCTGTCCTTTGCGATCTCGGCATCTCCTGCAGCTCCTGAGCAATAGCCATCGCCTCTACATGAACCTGCAACCTCTCCTGCGGCAGATCAGGAAGCTAGAGGAAAATGAAGGTAGAAATCCCATGTTTATTGCAAGTTTGAAACAATATGTGCCTTTCCGGCTTTCCTGATAGCACCCACTGTATATGAAGCCATACGTATGCAACCGTCATTTCTGAGCCCATTGTTCGGATGCCAGATTTAAGTACGGATGTTACATACTTTCGTGTGTGATTCTTCCAGAGAAAAAACAATACCGCGAATCCTACATCAGCGATGCTCTGGACCTTGATATGGATCAACTGGAAAAGCGTTCCCGAGCCAGTGGAAGTAGTTCAGGCAGCGTGAAGCACAAGCGTCTCTCCCGCCACTCCACTGCTAGCCATAGCAGCTCCCACACCTCTGGAATTGAGGCTGATCCAAAGCCCAGGGAACGAGGGACTGAGGAGGACTTCATGGTGGCCGCCGTCCATCGCCAGCTGAGAGCTTGCAGCTCTATGACCAGTCATGGTAGTTCTCATACTTCTGGAGTAGGAAGCAGTGAGAAGGAACGGCTGGAGGAGGACTCCTCTCAGGAGGATGGTAATTGTCCATACTTGGTCCATTCTTGACAATCTTTTGCCCAGTAATGTAGAGGTAATTGGGTTGGTTGGTTGGTTGGTTTCCTAAATTGGGATTCAAGTTCCAAAATATGGAATGTGGTAATACTTTACATATATGTTCAATTTGTGTGTGTACTGTACTGTTTGTGTATTTTACTTTTTAGTAGATGTTTTTTGTGTTTTCTATATTATCTATAGATTTAGAAATAGATATCCATTTTATGTCTTTTTCTTTATGCACTTTGGGTGTTTTTGATGATGTTTGTTAATTGTAGTTCAATAAAAACGATGAAAAATATAAAAAACAGTTCAGAATTATCAAGTTTGAAAAGCGATTTTCAAACAACCTTGGAAAGGGGTTTTCTCCTCTTGAAGACCCACTGGCAATTAGCATAGCTAGTCATCTGATGTGCTGTCTGGGGGTGTATAATTTCACATAATTTCTCAGGATGCCAAAGGGATTCTGGATATTAATCGAACACAGCTGCGAGGGGCTGATGTACACCAGGGTTTTTTTCAAGCTGTGTTCTTCAAGAACCTATGGGTGCATAAGAACTTGATGGGGTTTGTTTGAACACAGTCACGTTGTTATCTCTAGAGCTTGTCTCTTGATCAAAGGCTAGTGGTATTTTTAATCCATTTCCACTGCCTGAAAAGATTTGAAAACTCCTGGTAGAGACAATGCTCAGCTAGAACGGCCAATGGCCTCCTGACTCCTGCTTTGGTTTCTATATCTTTATCTCTTTAGTTTTCCTATTATTAAAAAATATCCAAGGCTATATTCTCAAGAATAAAGAGCGGGAAAATACAAGATGAACTAAAGCATGCCGGCATTCTCCCAGCGGGTGTTAGGTTTTCTTTCTTTCCCTTTTTATTGAGATTGTGTGGCCAGAAGGAAGTTGTCATGAGGGAAGAAATGGCCCGTGGAGGACTGAAAATCCTTTCCATGTGGATTTCATCCTGTCCTGCGGCTGGTGGGACAAAGAGCCTAGAAGGAAAAGAGGGCGTGCATCATCTTCCTCTGTTATTTCTCTGGATTTGATTGCTGCCTCCCGCAGCTGCTTTTCATTCTGGGAACAAAAGAAAAGGCACCCTGTGTCTTGTACTCTCCCTTTAGATTTTTTTAGTGGGGCTAAACCATTGGAGGGGGAGGGGAGTTGCATCGTCTGGATTTCCCAAATTCATCTATAGCTGTTGTAAAGCTGCCAGGGGCTGCCACAAAGAAGAGGGAGTCAAGCTATTCTCCAAAGCACCTGAGGGCAGGGCAAGAAGCAAGGGAAGGAAACTCATCAAGGAGAGAAGCAACCTAGAACTAAGGAGAAATTTCCGGACAGTTAGAACAATTAATCGGTGGAATAACTTGCCTCCAGAAGTTGTGAATGCTCCAACACTGGAAGTTTTAAAGAAGAGATTGGACCACCATTTGTCTGAAAGGGGGTTGGACTAGAAAACCTCCAGGGTCCCTTCCAACTCTGTTATTCTATTCTAAAGTACACTTTACTAAAGCCAAGTAGTCACAGCGTAGCAAAACTGAATCAGGTTTTTCATCTAGTATCTCTTACCATGTGCAAATACTATGCCAACTTTTTAACAATGTATAAAGCCCTACCCTTCTCTCGCCTCGTATTCCTTGGAATCAGTTTCCCTCACCAAACCCAATTATTAGGCTTACACATCATTCTGAAGTTTGTTTTAGAGTATTTGCTGAATGAATTATATTTAGCTTTAAAAAAAAAGCTGTTGGATAACCATTTGTCTGATATGCTATAAGGTTTCCTGCCTAAGCAGGGGGTTGGACTAGAAGACCTCCAAGGTCCCTTCCAACTCTATTATTCTATTCCTATTCTATTCAATAATCATTAAATGGGTCCGCAGGGCTGGCTACCTTTGCTCTAGGTCAGGGTAGCTGTTCCAGCTGTTCCTCCTCTCCCCTGGCATTTATTCTCTCTTTGTTTCAGAAATAGAAATGCTGGTTGATGATCCTCGAGATCTCGAGCCAACAAGCGAAACGTCTCTGGATGACATCAATCCTGATGTTTGCATTTACATCACAGAGGACATGCTGTTGGCCAGGAAGTTTAATGGGCATTCAGGTGAGTTTATTATGTAAGGAACAAAAGGATAACCCTAATACAGGAAGTCCTCGACTTAAAAAACACTTTGTTTAGTGACAATTCAAAGTTACAATGGCACTGAAGAAAAGTGAGTTATGACCATTTCCCACACTTACGACCATTGGAGCAAGCCCATGGTCATGTGATTTACATTTGGATGCTTGACAGCTGACTCACATTTATGACGGTTGCAGTGTCCCTTTTGCAACCTTCTGACCAGTAAAGTCAATGGGGAAGCCAGATTCACTTAACAACTGTGTTACTAATTTAACAATTGCAGTGGTTCACTTAACAAATGTGGCAAGAAAAGTTGTAAAATGGGACCAAACCCAGAGGTGGTATTTTACTGGTTTGGCCCGACGATTTTCTGCTCTTCTATTTGGCCTGCCCGCCTGGGCTCTAGGCTGTCCTTTTATTTCCTGCTTTTTCAATCACAACTGCTTTGTGCAACAGGAAAAGATGATTTTCAAATGTTACGCACACAACGTGCGCACTCACCAAACCGGTTATAGAATAGAATAGAATAGAATAGAACAGAACAGAATAGAATAGAATAGAATTCTTTATTGGCCAAGTGTGATTAGACACACAAGGAATTCGTGCAAATGCTCTCAGTGTACATAAAAGAAAAGATACATTTGTCAAGAGTCAAGAATCATAAGGTACAACACTTAATGATAGTCATAGGGTACAATAAGCAATCAACTCATACTAGGAAACAGTCAATATAAATCGTTAGGATACAAGCGACAAAGTTACAGTCATACAGTCACAAGTGGGAGGGATGGGTGATAAGGAGTGATGAGAAGGTTAATAGTAGTGCAGACTTTGTAAATAGTTGGACAGGGTTGAGGGAATTATTTGTTTAGCAGAGTGAGGGCTTTCGGGAGAAAAAACTGTTCTTGTGTCTAGTTGTTCTGGAGTGCAGCGCTCTATAGCCTCATTTTGAGGAAAGGAGTTGAAACAGTTTGTCCAGGATGTGAGGGATCTGTAAATATTTTCACAACCCTCTTTTTGTATCAGCAGCTTATTACATGGGTTGAATCCTACCCCTGACCAAACCCACTTAAGAAATTTCTCACTTAGCAACATAAATACTGGGTTCAATTGTAGTCATAAGTCGAGGATTACCTGTATTTTTATTACAATTACAAAAGTTTCAAAGAAATGTACATATATACACTACATGCAACATACCAAATATTTAATGATATATAACGAAGTAACCATTTCAAGTTAGCAGTTTCCAGCAGAGTAGATGTATCAGTTTTAATTTTAACATCTTGTATTTTATATACCAAATTGTGTAATGTCAGGCTGAATTTTGACCATCTTCATTCAAATAATTTTCAGGGTAAGGACAGCCTTCTTTAGCAATAGCAATAGCGCTTAGACGTATATACCGCTTTACAGTGCTTTACAGCCCTCTCCAAGCACTTTATAGAGTCAGCATATTGCCCCCAACAATCATTTTACCCACCTCGGAAGGATGGAAGTCAACCTTGAGCCTGGTGAGATTTCAACTGCCAAATTGCAGGCAGCTGGCAGTCAGCAAAAGTAGCCTGCAATACTGCACTCTAACCACTGCGCCACCGTGGCTCATCTGTGGCTTAGGCAGGATCCTCCAGAAAAGAGCTTTCATAATCCCTGGTTAGCATGACCCATAGGAAGTCCCTAGTTAGCAGGAGAATTGAAGTCTGCACATATGGAGAGCACCTGGTTAAGGAAGATTGTATTCATTCCATTGAACTCATTATTGACGTACTTAGAATTCTGTAAAGGCCAGCTGAACAATAACAGGCTCATATGATTTTTACAATGCAATTCAATGCAAAAAGTGCACTTTAGATGTACTGATGTTCTGTACAATACTACAATACCATGAAAACTTAATGACAATTGAATCAGGAAAACATCTCACCTCTTTTTGGTTTTTATTTTCTTGTCATCTAACTCAGGATTAGTTGTCAAAGAAGTGAATTCGTCTACTTCCAGTTCCTCAGAGACAGTGGTAAAACTTCGTGGCCAGAGCATTGATTCATTGCCACAGGTTTGTGAATTGTGTTGGGGAAAAACAAGTCAGACTGAATGGGTGGATGTCTATGACAGAATGTAGCATTCTAATGGCAGCTAGTCATAACAGGAATGGAAGCAAAACCACTTTTTTGAGAATGGTAGAAAAATCCCTTCCATATGTTTTCAATTATCTGTTACATTTCAAGCATCACATGATGTTTTAATGTTGTCTTCTACTTTTCTCTGTTTTGCTATACCTTAACTAGGCAGAAAAAGGAGAAGTAAAATAAATACACTGGATTATGTCTTGATAAGCACTTTATCAGGCACTTTAAGCTTTTGGATAATACAAAAGTATCAATGAAGATTGTTTGGCTGAGTTTGCACAATATGCCAGACGAGGCTAAAATGTAACTCGGTGGTTGGTGGATCAGTGTCTTATAGTAATACAGTTTTAATCTTAGTATGTTGTGTGAAGGACTCACACACAAAATACAATTTATTTGTTATTTATTCATTTTTATTTGTCAAACAAAAATTACAAATTCAAACAAAGAAAATAAGAAAATCAAAATGTGACAGGGACAATAGGCACACCAGTGCACTTATGCACACACCCTTAAATATGGAGTGAGGTCCACAGAAGCGAAGTTAGAATTAAAGCTGTGAAAGTTAACAGCTGAGATAACTGAATCAGAGAAGATATTCCAGATTTCGACGATTCTGTTACACAAAAATGGAATTTTTTACAATTGTGTTTAGAGCGGTTTACATTAAGTTTAAAGCGGTTTTGTTTTGTTTTGTATGCAATACCTAAGTTTCAACATGTTGTTGAAACCTATATGGGATGTGAATACAGCCATTGTGGTTTGTCAACCCATGTTTACAATTTAATGTATTGTTTGAACCCAGCCCTTGTGTCTTCTCAAGTTCCTACTCTCCTCAGAGAAGAGGCTAAATTTTCTTTAGTTCTTTTCCCAGTCAAATTCAAGGGCCATCATCATCAACAAAATCTCATATTTTGATCAATATAAAATTGTATTTAAAGAACCCCCCAGACAGAAACTTATTCCATACAACTTAAGGGTCTCAGAATAAGGAAGAACAAATTAAACCTTTCCTAATTTTCTACAGAGCATCTGCCAGAAACCAAGGACTTCCACCGATCGCCACAGCTTAAGTCTGGATGACATTCGGCTCTACCAAAAAGACTTCTTGCGCCTGGCAAGCCTATGCCAAGAGACAGCGCAGAGTTATACATTTGGGTGTGGCCATGGATTGGCTGAAGACAGTCTGTATTGTAATGGCTGTTTAGCTCAACAGTGCATCAATATCCAAAACGCTTTTCCCGCCAAAAGAACCAGCAAATACTTTTCCTTGGACCTCGCCCATGAAGACGTTCCAGAATTTGTTGTCTGATGCTGTCGTTGGGTGCTCTGGCAAGACAACGCAATGTTTCCAGTTCCAAAAACCCTTTCTGGTGTGCCAAACAGGAATTTTCCCTCTCAATGGTTTTCCCAGGATACTTTAAAAAAAAGAAAAGAAAAAAATCAAGGCCTTGTAAACTGTTGCACTTTTGTAAAAGCTTATCCTATTTGCGGTCTCTTTGGCATCAGTGTTTGCCGTGAGGCAGAATTTGATTTGGTTAAAAATCAGTTGGATTTGGAAGATCTGGTCTCTTCTTTTGAAAGCAGCCAATTTGGAGGACCTTTTGTTTCGCAAGAAGGATGCACAATGTTTACTTTTCAATATAGATATAATCTCTTTTATTTGTTTTGGTTTTTTTTAATTTGCCTCACGGGGGCTCTTCTGTGCTATGCATACCATAGATTTTTGCATCATCTTTGCAGTTGTTTTTCCCCTTGTGAGAATAATCGCTTTAGTTCTTCTTCTCCATTCCCATTTGTTGTGCCATGTCAAACCAAAGAAATGCACCCTGCACAATGGGTGACATCAAGACGAAGCTCTAAGCAATAACTAACCCAAAGGATTGTGTAGAAAAGTTGCTCAGAGGATGAAAGCAACTTGAGATGCAATGAATCCATCTTGTGATCTTCCCCCTCACCAAAAAAAAAAGTATGTAAGCTTTTGATCCAAATGGAATCTTTGTGCTATTTTGTAAAGTTTACAAAAAGAAAAAAAACAACAAGCAAATGAACAACAACACAACAAAAATCCCCAAATAGATGTTTGGTGGTTTGGGGAAACTTTCTGGAAGCTTTGTTGTTTCAAAAGGGAAAAAAATGAGGATGTAGCAATAGGATTTGCTGACCAAAGTACCTTAAGTTCAGAGAGAGGGAGGGAGAGGGAGAGAGAGAGAGAGAGAGAGAGAAAGTATGTGTGAGAGAGCAAATATAAAATATGCACATTGCAGAAAAAGAGTATATGTTTAATGTATTTTTGAAAATATAAAACTATGTTTTATTTTGGTTTTGATTTCAGTGGTTTTTTAAAAGAAAAATTAACGCTTCCTGTCTTTCAAACTGCATGTATAGACAATTGTGCAAATGCACATTTTACACATGGTTAAAACAGCCTCTTTTTTGTTTTTTGTTTTGATTTGATTTGATTTGATTTGTAATTTAGTGTAATAAGGGGAGAGAGTTCTTTCTGTACTGCAAGCATGGTTTCCCTACTCCAATAATTTTTCTTTTTAATTTTTTACTCCAATAACTTTTGCTTCCATGTATCATGAGATGTTCCTCTCCCCTTTCTGGAAAGGGGAAAGATGTCTTATCTTGTTTCATTGATTGTGTTAGATCAATGAACAAGTGGGACTTTTGAAAGGAATGCTCTGATTTTATGTCTGCCATAGGTTGTAACAAAAGCTCCATCAGCTGCCATCCTCCTATCACCAAAGAGCTGATCACTGTGGCATCTTTTTTTAGAGGGCCCCATTGTAAAGACTGCCAACCCTTCCATTGTCCAAGCACACTGAGGGGAAGGAATGAGTATCAATAGAACAGAAACAGAAGAAAATGCTATCCAAAACATTTTCCCTGCAACACTATGTCTTGCACAACACAATTCCTAGTAACTGCACAACATGCAAAAGCTTGGTTAGTTTTAACTTTGATGATATGTTATGGTGACTTAGCCTATTTCATAACCGAGTCCCTTATTTAGTTTGTAGCTGCTTTCTGCAAATCCAGGAGTAGATTGATTCAGCTAACAATTAAGAGGCATATATGAATCCAGCCACTACTCAGCAAAAAAAAGCATCCAGTATAGCATTGGATTATGAGTAATTGTCTGTTTTTAGTAGATTGGGAAAAATAGAAATATTTACATATCGCTTCTTCATTGTGGGCTTCATGGTGCCAGACTATCAGAAACACATGTCTGAGTAACCGACACATTTTCTTCAGTTCCTTCCCCAAGAGAATTGAGGATGTCAATCTCCACCAGGAGTTTTGAGGTCCATCTTTGCCTCCTTACCTCTCTACCATTGTGCTTTAGGGTCCCTTCAGCCATTGGTTAGGTCCACAAAAGACTTGCACTTAATGGATTTGGATATATGCATACAACAAATGCTTATTTTACTATCTATGTATCTGCACATAATTATTTTTGCAATCTTCTATGAAACGAAATATGCAAATATCACCTGCCATAGGCCACTCTCTGGTAGCAGTTAATCAGCCTTGATTGAAACTAGTTAAGAGGGGACCTGATTTGTGTTTGAGTTAGGAGCCTAGCAGAAATTCTATAGACCAGGAAGATACAAAGACATCCCTAAAAACAATGGCAGGCCACTTTCAGATTGTTCCCATTAAAATAATATAGATCAAAGGTGTCAAACTCCCGTTGTCACATGATGTATCACAACTTTTTTCCCCTTTGCTAAACCGGGTGTGGGCGTGGCCAGCACATGACACACCAGCCATGAGTTTGACAGCCCTGATATAGAAGCTTCTGTGGCATCACTAAGACTAGAGCTCAGCCCAAAGGAGATTTTATCTTTAAGACCTAGAAGTAGCTATGTCTGTCAACATGTCGTGCAAAACGTTTGCTGGTGTGTGACTTTTTCTACTAGACCATAGTATAGTCCTCCAGAAGACCCTCAATATTCTAGAGGGCTAACTTTTCTGAGCTCTGGTCCCAGGGTACCTGAAGATTTTATCTGACTTGTGGATAAATTCTCCTTCTGACATATTTGCAGCCTTTTCAGGAGGAGAACGTCCTGTATCAGAGGATAGTAACCATGGGGGGGGTGGGGGAGGGACAGATTTTCCCCTTTATCAGGAATTGTTCTAGCAGTACAATAATTTCCAGCCACTATTGGGAGAAAAGCATTTACAAACAAAACAAAAAGATTCATAGCATATTGCCTTAAAAAAATATTTTTGTGAGATTTTGTAATCATAGCCATAGTATTGCCATATTTTGATATATGGTATTTTTCTAACTGAAAACATACATCACACACACACACATAAATATACAATATGTATTTCTTTGTACACAAATCACACACAACGGATATATTTATTTTTAAAAAATTAGTACAATATTTCACTTAGGGGGGGGGGGTGTCAAAAATCAGATGATTGGGCATTTTGTTGGGCCATGAGGATTGTATAAATCACCTGTTGATGATGATGATGATGATGATGATGACGATGAAATGTAGCCAGCATATGGACACTGGTATATTTACAACTTTGGTGAACTTGTTCCTGCTTCCTCTGAATAGCAATAGCAATGCCAATGCACTGATATTTTTCTCTTCATAAATTCCAGTGGGTTGACACCGCTCAGTAATTGCCTACTTTCAGTGAAGCATAGTGCCATGGGTCTTTATTTTGATAAACTCCCCCCCCCCCCCCCAAACCTGGTAGGTCATATCAGGTTTGTTGGATGATGCACGTTTGAAGTAATGCAATATTGCCATGTGCTATATATTGTCCTTTCTATTTGCTAAGCTGTTTATTTCATCATCTGGAGCACTGATAGGAGTGACTCATCCATACTCGTGCAAGGGAAGCTCTTCTTGGGAAGATATTTGTTGGGAAAGATGAGGCCCTATTTCACAGTCTGAATTTCTTCAGCTGCCTGGCATAAATTCAGAAGGGTTCTTCTCTCCTTTCACAATGCCACATAGGTATATGCAGAGAGGTTGATCAGTTTCCCAAGTTTGCTCAACATTTTGCTTCATACACAGCAATAATAAAGTGTGTAACACTCTGGATAAACTAAGAAAAACTTCCAGTTGTCCCAACCCAAACAAATAAAGCACAATTGTTGGATTATGTATTGCTATTTAGAAGTTCACCAGTCGTATACCACCACAAAATTGGCTGTTGTAAATACCAGGTAATATCAGTCTAAGATATCTGTGTCCCACAAATCTACTTGCATTTTGAAATAATAGGCTGAAATCAAATAAAGACTGATGTAAAAAGATAAATGAGGCTGGCTAGATAGGAGAACATAGCATTAAATAAAACCATATCATCATTCCTTGGGTTGCCTTAAACGTATGCCATGTACTACTTATCTGAGTCTTGAGTTGTCTGCTTCAGCGCATTCTCCTTTTTTGTCTCGTGCTTGTATCTGATTTTAAAGATGTTCTCATCCAGAAGCCTGATGTGTTGCACAAAAGCCCAGGCCCATATTGTTGCTGTTTTGTGGTGTGTGTGCAGGAGGAGGGGGAACCTCTCCAGTGTCATTGTTCAGTGTGGTAGGCTTTGTAGCATGAAGCTGTTTCTGGGAGGGATTCAAGAACAGTATCACTCAGTACAATATGTTATGTTGAAATAAATCTTTGTCAGGCTTAGACACAGCAGAGATGGGGGGGGGGGTCTGCTCAAATCAACAAAGTAAATTTAATTGCTTATAACATAACAAGAGTAATTGAAATACTGCAATGAGAGTATCTAACTGGATTCCAGAAGAGCACTGATGATAAATGATCACATGAGTCCATATTGTTTGAGTAATATACCAATAAGTTTTCCTCAAATTTATATAACTGAGGAAGTTGGTTTTAAAAGTGCCAAGAAATATACCGTATTTGTGGAGTTCCACAGTACACATGGGGGGCCCTTGTTGATTTACAGACACTTCTGAGAGGTTTCCACATTCGGAGGCTGAATTTAAACTTAAGAAAATTTAAGCCACAAGAAAATTGGTAAATTAGTAATTAATTCAATGTTTTGCCTGTCTCTGCTTCTAAAATCTAATCTTGGCAACATCTCTAGTTATGTCAACTGGAAGACAAGAGGGTGAGCAAATATGGCTATCAGTAAATATTTATAGGCAACAACATAGAATCTTTTCCATCTTATTTCCCCACGACAACTCTTCCAGTGCTTTTTCCTCTTCTTCATAAGAGGTGGCTTCCATTCATTCACAAAGGATCCCTAAATCTATACATCCTCCAGATGTATGGATTACCACTCAGAATTCCTCAGCGGGCATGAGTGACTGAAAAATTTTGAAGCTAAGGTCTACGCATCTGAAAGATGTCCCCAAGTTAAGGAAGGTTGAAGTAACCTGCCTAAAAGGTATTGTTGATTCCAACTTGGGTTCAATATCTGGCGAGCCCAAATGTGAATGTATTTGTGGGAAAGTGGGAAAGTATGAATGCCATCTTGAAAAGGGGTACCCATCACTTCATTGATGGTGTGCTGTGGCCTACACGCAGGGAAGCTAGCAATTGTTCTTGATCAATGCATGTCGGAAGTTCCAAGAAGCCCTTAATGTTGCAGATGTTGTCGAACAGAGTTGTATGATACAAGATTGTATTTTTATATATAAAAATATATATACTTTTGCATTTCTGGGAACTCTTTAGTGGGTATGGGGTGTCTCTGGCTTCCGATCACTGTTGCTGCGGGTTCACCACCTGGCAACAACTATTCCACAGCACAAGTGAATGACTTACTCCTTTCTATGAAAGGCCTTTTCCTCTTGGACAGTGGAATGCAAGCAATTGAACAAGCTCTAAGGAATGCAGCCAATGTATTTTGTTATGCAGAAAGTTTGTGGTGCGCCTTTTGTGGTACAGTTCTAAGAAATGACAATAAAAGTCACAGTTTACATTGCTGTCTCTCTTCTGGTCTTCATTTGAATAGAATTTACCAGCATTTACGAACCCTAATAGTTAAGGAAAATCATTTCAATGCTGTACAGATGTTGCCTTTTAGGCAGTCAATCAATCTGTGTGAAGGGAAATTGGAGAAGAGAACATGGAAAACTTTGCGTGTCTCCGGATGTTAGTGTTATACTATAAAGCAGTCCAAAGGAAGAAAGAAATGTCGTATGGGTCTAAAGCTGTTTTTATTGAAACAGCTATAATAACCGAATTTTGCAAGTCTGAATATGCTTCCTTCCTTCCTTCCTTCCTTATCTGATTGTTACCTTAATAAAAAAATATCCCCGGTCTTCCAAAGACATTCTCTGTATTCTCTATACCAGGGGTCTCCAACCTTGGCCACTTTCAGACTTGTGGACTTCAACTCCCAGAATTCCTCAGCCAGCAAAGCTGGCTGAGGAATTCTGGGAGTTGAAGTCCACAGGCCTGAAAGTAGCCAAGGTTGGAGACCCCTGCTCTATACCCCAAACTTCTACAACCATAATTTCCTTGGTCAGTCTTGCACTTTCACAAGAGATTGAGGATGATGCTTTAGTTTAAAAGTATAATGTATGTTTCTGAGCTATTGTGGCCAGGCTCTTGGGCAGGTCTAAATCTCTGCTGTTTAGAATTAAAAAAGCATTAATTCATTCACACATACAGTGCATTCAGAAAGTATTCAGACCCACTTCACTTTTGTCAATTTTGTTATGCTGCAGCCTGATTCTACAGTTGTTGAAATTTATTCATTTTTTCTCATTAATCTACATTTAGTACCCCATAACAACAAAGGGGAAAACATTATTTTAGAAATGTCTGTAATTTATTTTTTTAAACTGAAATGGCACATTGGCATAATAAGTATTCAGACCCTTTGCAACAACACATAAAATTTATCCTCCCTTTTCCCTTGATCATTGCTGATATGTTTCTACACCTTGAATGGAGTCGACCTGTGGTAAATTAAGTTGATTGGAAAGCCACACCCCTCTCTATAGAAGAGCCAAAGCCATGAGGTCAAGGGAACTGCCTGTAGAGCTCAGAGACAGAATTATTGCAAGGCATAAATATAGGGAAAGCTGCAATAAAATTTCTGCTACATACACTGAAGGTTCCTAAGAGGACAGTGGCCTCCATAATTCTCCATAGAAGAAGTTTGGTCCATAGAAGAAGTTTGGTTCCAAGAGCTAGTCAAACTAAGCAATCTGGGGAGAAGGGCCTTAGTAAGAGAAGTGACCAAGAACCCAATTGTCACTCTTGATTGAGCTCCAGAGATCCTGTGTGGAGATAGGACAGAGTTCCAGAAGGACAAGCGTCACTGCAGTCCTCCACTGATCTGGGCTTAAATTTAACAATTTAAGATGAGAGCTGGATATCAGAGAATAAATTTAAATTTATTTAACAATTTAAGGTGAGAGCTGGATATCAGAGAATAGAAACAGAAGCAGAAATAGAATACGAATTTGGAATGGAAGGGAAGAGAAGAGGAGAAGAGAAGAGAATAGTTAATAATTTTATTGTCACTTTAAATGTACACTAATCAGCATATATTTAAATGAAATTTTGTTGCATACAGCTCTCAAAAAGTCACCACCTCCAATATACACTACATAAACATGACCAAATAAATAGATAAATAAATATAAAATTATGCATATACCCACATGTATTATATGACACAGAGAAACAACACAATCTAATTCAGATGTATACATGGAGGAAAATGAATCTGGCGAGATTACCAGAAGGATGGCATAGGGAACAAAGGTGGTAGTCCTGCTAGAAATACTTTGAAAGCTCCTCCCAGAGGGGAGCTACAGAAACAGACCATGAAGTGGGTGTGTGGGGTCTCTAACAATGCTTCAAGCTCTAAACACATAAGCACTTATAAGCAATATCCTGAATAACAGGAAGCGAGTTTCCTATAATCTCAACTGTCCTTACCACTCTCTGTATGGACCTTCTATCTGAGGCACGGCTGCCACCAAATCAAACAATGATGTAGTTAAAATGCTCTCAGTTGTGGCCTATGTAAAATGTGGCCAGGACAGGAGGAGAAAGATGCACTCTCCTCATCTAATGCAGGAAATGCAGACGCTGGTTTGCACGCTTCTGTGATGACCCGGGGCGTGGCACGAAAGCAACACAACCAGAGAACAGGTCTAACTCCCCTTCATTGCTCCAACTGTGCCCTCAAATGTCCCCACATTCACTACAAGTCCTGGAGCAAAGCTCTCACATGCACCTTCAGAAGCCTCTGGCTGCAAGTAGTCCAGTAAGCAAGGTTAGCCACACAGCAACCCGGGCCAGCAGTCCAGTAAACCAGGTTAGCAGAAACAATAACCAGGGCCAGCAGTACCAATAAGCCAGGTTAGCCAAACAAGAAAAAACAAGAGCAAGAAATTCAGCGAAGCAAGCAAACCAGGCAAGCCCCACAAGAGAGATCTTGTTCCCAACAAATGCCCCTCCCACCGGCATCTCCTTACTTCCCCAGGTGTGCCTTGTGAAAGGGGGTGGGGCACTCTCCTCCCTCATAGCGGGCTCAATCTAAGATGATTTCGCTTTCTTTCTTCCCTCCTTGTCCTAGGATTGGGAGGGAGTAGTCCTTGCTCTTCTCCTGAGCTCTGTCTCTCCTGCTCCTCCCTGTCTGCAGGCCTTACTAATTCACAAAAGCCTTGCCTGGACTGACTCTGCCCTTCCCCAGTTTCCTCCAAGGACAATGGAACCGCCCTCTCTATCTCTGTCGACTCTTATTCCAGCTCATCTTCCCTGCAGATTCAGATGCCAATGGGGGCATGACAGCTTCCCTAAGGATGACATGTGGAGGGACCAATTCAGATGGTTAGTTATCTGCACCCTCAGAGCCTGTTTGACTAGAAGACCATCTTGTGGGATGTCCAATTCCCACCTAAGGGGAACTTCTTTATTAAAAAAAAGTCAACATTGTGTTTAATGCAGCCAAATTAGAAAAAAAAAATTATGATAAAAATTGGCAAAGCCCAGAAAACACCCTATGCCCCTGATGGTGCAAGGAAATAATAGTTTGCGCTTTAACCGAATCGGTTTTAACTGCTTTCAGGGTAAAGCTGTAATTAAAATAATGCAATCTAGGGTGATCAGAAGCATTTAATTGGATCAAATTAAATCCAATTTAATTTATAAACTATAGTCTCCATAGTGTGGAATATTTGAATGTTTTTCTGTGGGCACAGAATAAATAAGCGCATTGTCCAAATAAAACACAAAAAAG